ATCGTGCTCTGCCTACTCAAGCAGGCAAGACTGACACTGAAGGTCTCCCCTGCACCCTGCAGGGCTCCTCTGCCAGTCCCAGGACTCCAAATATACATTTAAGGATACGTTTAAAAGTGATTTTTAAATGTGTTCCAGCTCTGCGCACCATTTCCAGAAGAGCAGCACAAAGACCCCTGACAACGCAAATTCTCTTTATAAATAAGCATATCCCAGCCTTCATAAATGCTGCTATGGGGAGAACTGGCTACCCTGGATTTGGAGAAGGCTGAGGTTCTTAATGACTTCTTTGCCTCGGTCTTCACTGGCAAAGGCTCTGAGCACACCACCCAAGTCTTGGAAGGCAGACACAGGGACTGTGAGAATGAAAACCCTAGGCCCGCTGTAGGAGAGGATCAGGTTCAAGACCATCTTAAGAACCTGAACATGCACAAGTCCATGGGACTTGATGAAATCCATCTGCAGGTCCTGAAGGAGCTGGCAAATGAAGTTGCTAAGCCACTGGCCATCATATTTGAGAAATCATGGCAGTCAGGTGAAGTTCCCGATGACTGGAAAAAGGGAAATATAACCCCCATTGTCAAGAAGGGGAAAATGGATGACCTGGGGACTACAGAGCAGTCAGTCTCACCTCTGAGCTTGGCAAAATCTTGGAGCAGATTCTCCTAGAAGGCATGCTAAGGCACATGAAAATCAACAAGGTGCTTGGTGACAGCCAGCATGGCTTCACTGAGGGGAAATCCTGCCTGACCAATTTGGTGGCCTTCTATGATGGGGCTACAGAACTGATGGACAGGGGTAGAGCAGTTGATGGCATCTACCTGGACTTGTGCAAAGCGTTCGACACTGTCCCACACGACATCCTTGTCTCTAAATTGGAGAGACATCAATTTGATGGATGGAGCACTGGGTGGATAAAGAACTGGCTGGATGACCGCACACAAAGAGTTGTGGTCAATGGCTCAATGTCCGGCTGCAGACCAGTAACGAGTGGGGTCCCTCAGGGATTTTTGTTGGGACCGGTCTTGTTCAACATGTTCGTCGCTGCCATGGACAGTGGGATTGAGTGCGCCCTCAGCAAGTTTGCCAATGACACCGAGCTGTGTGGTTCGGTTGATACCCTGGAGGGAAGGAATGCCATCCAGAGGGACCTCGACACGCTTGTGAGGTGGGCTGATGCCAACCTTACAAAGTATTCACTTATGCCAAGTGCAAGGTCCTACACCTGGGTGGGAGCAATCCCAGGCACAGCTACAGGTTGGGCAGAGAAGAGATTCAGAGCAGCCCTGTGGAGAAGGACTTGGGGGTGTTGGTTGATGAGAAAATGAACATGAGCCGGCTTCAGTGTGCGCTTGCAGCCCAGAAAGCCAACTGTGTCCTCTGCTGCATCAGAAGGAGCGTGACCAGCAGGTCCAAGGAGGTGATCCTGCCTCTCCACTCTGCTCTTGTGAGACCTCACCTGGAGCATTGTGTGCAGTTCTGGTGTCCTCAATATAAAAAGGACATGGAACTGTTGGAACAAGTCCAGAGGAGGCCACGAGGATGGTCAGGGACTGGAGCACCTCCTGTATGGAGACAGGCTGAGAAAGTTGGGGCTGTTCAGCCTGGAGAAGAGAAGCTGTGTGGAGACCTCATAGCAGCCTTCCAGTATCTGAAGGGGGCCTTGTGATAGGACAAGGGGTAACGGGTTAAAACAAACATGGGAAGTTTAGATTGGATATAAGGAAGAAGTTCTTTACTGTAAGGGTGGTGAGGCACTGGAATGGGTTGCCCAGGGAGGTTGTGAATGCTCCATCCCTGGTGGTGTTCAAGGCCAGGTTAGGCAGAACCTTGGGTGCCATGGTTTAGTGTGAGGTGTCCCTGCCCACGGCAGGGGGGTTGGAACTTGATGATCTTAAGGTCCTTTCCAACCCTAACTATTCTGTGATTCTATGATTTGATATTAAACATAATAAATAAACTACTCTTTTTTTCAGACTAAAATTGCAAATATTTCAAACCCAGGAATCCTCTTCACCCCTGCTCTCTGCTGAATTTCCTTGTTACTTTTCCACTGGTGGTATCCCAATAACCTGCCTGATCAAAAGCCTAATCACAAGCCTCTCCTTCCTACCTTTCCAAGAGCAATACGTTCTGACTTGTTTCTCTTTTCTACTAAGACAACGACAAGGAGGATTTCAACATCAACTGAGAGGTATAAATCACAAACTAAAGGCTGTCACAACAGATTTTGGAGCGCGATCCTCAGAGCACACCCACCAGCCAAGCTGGAGGAGGTGCTTCCCATAACAATTCTCTTTCCTATGAATACACTTCCCATGTGTAAACTTCCCAATGCTCCTTGTTTCCCAGCCAACCAAGGTGTAAATCGACAGTGCAGCTTTCTATAGATACCACACAAACTGGTTGTAACTGAAGATAACTGCCAGTCCACATCTTCTGGGGTTTAGGATTAATTTTGTTTTAAGGCAGAATATTTTGCTTTTGATATTGGCATTAGCCTGAGGGCAACAAAGGAATTCTGCTCCTTCTGTGAGGCTTACAGGGAAGGTTTGCTTTTAAAAACGAAGTTCTAAAGCCTGATGAAATCTATCGTATGCTGGGTTCTGAGATACGCTGTGGGAAACAATGGCTATCTATGGACAGCATTCATTTTTAACCTATCATCTCCTAACCCCCTCAGCATCATTTCTGCAGCCAGTGTAAGAACTATATGACCTGAATATTAACTTTGACTTCAGTGGATCTGCAGAAGGGTATTTTTGTGTAGTTCTTCAACTTGGAGTTTCTCTCCAAAATCCTGTCTATACCTTAGACTACATCCGAGGTTTATTTTTAAGGATTTATTTTTGATTTGTCAGTATTCATATTCACATCTACAAACTTTTTATCTGCTCACACGTAAAAACCCTTCAAAGAGGCATACATTTAAAACAGAAATGCTGAAATACAAGCCTGCTTTTCACTGCAACAAGACAGATGGCGTTCTCACATCAAACCCCTTACCCATTAGCAAGTCCAGAGTTTCTTAAAATATGAGAAATACTATACAGCCTTGTTACAGTACAGGGTATTTATTCCATTGATAATGTGCAATGTGCCAGGTTCAAAATGATGCTTATTACTTCTTGGAGGCAATGAACAAACTGTTTAAGGAGTGTGGACACTGCTCCTTGTGTTGAATTCCCCAAGCCAAGGTTGATGAGGGCAGTGTGGAGGGGGAATACAGCTGGGTACCAAGGGCAAGAGCTCAGTACATGTGTATGAAAAGGCACATAAGAATCACATGTCATGACAGGGTCAGTAGTACTCACATGCATTAGAGGATGATCAGCTGCTGCAGAGGAAGAGAATCTGGTCACCCAGGTTTTGGAAACCAAACTGAGTTCAAAAGCCAAAAATGGGAAATTGGAATAAAAAGGCTTAGAAAGCACCAAATTTTGAAGTATAACCTTTCTATGGTGAAATACCTGTTCTGTACCAAGCACAGGATACAAGTTGAGATGTAAAACCGGTAGCCATGAGGTGTTCAAAAGTGGAAGTGAATGCATACTGAGGATGTTTTCTCTGGTATGTCCAAAGAGACAGATGAGCATGACCAAAACCACTGTAAGCTTTCAGAAGAAAAAACATACAGCAGCTACTACAAAACCATTGGTCATTCAGAGATATATGTGGATCTAGTAACACATTTTGCTATCACAAGAAATCTCAGCTTTACTCCAGAAGTAAGGCACTCACTAGTATGGGAAAAAGCTCTCTTGTTATTTCATCCTCAAAATGGTAGTGGTGATATAGTTGTAAAGAAGATACGTCTTCTTTTCTCGGTTGATAAAAAACATCCCAACATCAGTCAACGCAAGTGGAAAGGAAAGAGCCAAACAGAAGAAGTTTCTTAGCATTCATATAAAATATTTCTGGCTGATGTGGATAGTAATTGAAACGAGATAACTACATGCATAAAATCTAGAGTGGTGCAGATCTACTCAATGAATTTGAGGACAGTGAGTAGCTTTTACAGTGCCTAGCTGAAATATGAAAAGAATCTGTGTTTGGAAAGCTTCACAAGACAGCCTTGTCTACCATTTTCTGTATATTGATCATCAATATCTGTCCTGTCATTAGCATTACAAAAATAGCACTGATCTGAACAGATACCACAAAAGGGGCATACAGAAATATTGCTAAAAGATCTTTGCTGCTGGTACTGGTACAGGAATAGGGATCAGAGACTAGGACAACAGAATACTTCATAATAAAGACTTCTAAAGAAGCCACGGTTTGATTTACACAGGCAACACTTGAAAGCTAATGCCAGAATTTGACAAGAGGTGAATGCAATTGTTCCTGGAGACAACGGGAGAATAAATGAGAGAAAGAAAAAGCCAAAGGAAATAAATTTCAACTCTGACACAATAAACATGACACCATCTCAACAGATTCCACTCATTCCAATGCAAGGAAGCTTTCAAGGCCCAGAGGTTTCTTTTACTGCTAGCAGGAGTTGTCACAGAGCAAGGGTTAGGTAGGAAGCAAAGCATGCCTGTCCAATTGCAGTATCCTACTGGCTTACAGAAAGATCCTATTGCCAGGTGATTAATAAACGACCTGCAAAGTAAGCTTTCAGCCTGTGACCTGGTAACTCAGCCTCATGCAAGAAGAGGGACGGAAATGTTTGTATCTGGAATCTATCATAACTAGAGAAGTCATTTAAATGATCAAAAAACCCCAGCTAAAAGGCTGAATTACGCTTTAGAATATCAGTAATGTGAGCATTTCACATTATCTCCAGCCAATCTTGGTTTAAGGAGGAACCAGAGAAACAGTAGCTTGCATAATAATTCTCAGTAACATATTCAGTTCAGTGTCATTCACATTTGCTGTGAACAGAAAGATGGCATTGAGTCTGCATAGCCACGTCAGGCTGCAATCGTATTATCCATTCCATTTTCATTTTCATTTCAAATACTAGAGCTCAAAAATCAAGACAGCACTCTGACCTTGCTACCAGGCTGGCACAGCTGGAAGAAGGCTTACTTTGCTCTCATCCATTCCCAAAGCGCACAGTTCAAGCAGCCCCATCCAGACTTACCTGCAAGAAAACAGAACACAAATTTGGGGTTACAGCTTCCAACTTTACAAAAATCTACCACTAAGAAGTAAAAATAAATGTAAAAATAAACAGCAGATCCCTGAAAATTTCCCCAGCACTGAAGAGTTAAACCAACTTTTTGCAGTGTAATGAATGATTTATTTAACTGTACTTTTCTCATAGCCCTCAAATGATTCATAATTTCCTCCTGGTAATTTAATTACAAAAGGTTGCATTGCCAAAGGGCAAAACAAAAGATCTGTTGACTTTCTTCTTATTACGAAGTACTGTTTTGTCTGTTCATATAGTCTTGCCTCCCTCCCTTCCCCTCCCCAGCTTTCCCTTCCCTTGCTGCTTCCCAATGCAACAGAGCATTCCAGCATTGCTGAAAACAACATGACTGAGTGCAAGGATGAGCAGATTAGGAAGATGGGGTTTGTACACTTGTAATTGAGCTTTGAAATAGAAGAAAAGTAATAAGCCACCAGTCATGTGGTGAACTTCTGTTTCTTCAATGGAAGCAAGTGCTTGGACCCCAAACCATCGAGTGGAATCAGCAAAGCTTTTATAGCAATGTCCTTACATCAGTGTCCCAGCAGTTTTCTTCACAGAAGGAGATTTGGGTGAGAAGTGTTTGGCAGAAGCGTTTTTGCCATTTGCCAAAGCCCATTAAATTCATTAACGGTGGTTTAATAAGCACCATGGGGAAGGCCTCTCCCACCATGGGTGGCAGGCTGCCATCTCCAACTCCAAGTGCTCCATGTGGAGCTCCCACCCCAGGTTTCACAGCTGTCTAACACAACTGGCTGCAGAGTGCATCCATACAATGTAGAGTCCACAGCACAATATGCTTGTCCATAAGCCCCAAGGATGACAAGGACACAGAGGGTTATCCCACACCCTTTCTCACCACAGCCCCAGGTGCCGCAATAAGCATTCTCCAGGAGATGCCACCCAGGAGCTGCTGGGCAGCTCCCACCTGCAGCACTGGGCTTGCATCTGCCACTGCATGTCTCTGAAGAGCTCTGTAGCTTCTCATGGTAAAACCTGACTGGTTGGTTGCTTTCTGTCCCCAGTGTCAGTGTATTTCGACAGCTCTGTAGGAAACATCAGTCTGTTTTTCAGAGACTGGAAGGTGGGGACTTGCCTACTGTGTTTCTACCACAAGATGTGACTATCAGAGGGTGTTTGTCTCCCCATGGCAGATGGATATGACTGGTCTCCTTCCTCCGCTTCTCATCCCCAGGCGGCAAACCCCAAGCATCTCCACAGTTTCTCAGCTCTGAACTGGTGGAGGAACAGAGGTGGCTGACATGGGGGTCTGCCTCAGTGGGGGTAGTGGGGTCTGCTAGGAGCCACCCCCCAGGGAACAGCGATCCCATCACTGAAATGAGAAGGGACAGGTAGTCCAAGAAATGCTCCTCAGCTGAAAACAGAACTTTTACATAGAAAAGATGCTGAAACAAAATGACTTCCAGGCTCAGCACTCTGCCCCTAAGATTTTATGACAGCCCCATGCACTCAGTACTTAGAATGTGAGAAAGCAACAGTGATGTTTCTTGGCAGGTACATGTTACACGGTGCACTTGGACCCAACCCGAGTCAGTGCCTGGAAAGGTAAACCCAATAGAAATCTAGAAAGGCTCTTATCCCCACCTGGTGGCATTGATATAATTGTCAAGAAACAAAAGTAAAGAGCTGGCAGTCCGCTTTAGCTTGGAAATCCCATTTGCTCCAAATCGCATTTCAGTTCTAGTATAACGGGAAGACAGCATTTGGTATCTGTCACTGACAGTCAATGGCAGATCCAGTTAAAACACCCTCAGTTCCTGGCGTCCAAACTGCATAAAGGACCTGGCAATTTCCTGAGCAGGGAGCTGCCGGTGCAGCTTCTGCGGCTCCGTTTGTGCCCTCCCCATCCCGCTGAGCTTTACAGCCGCTTCCCGGCGCCTCCTGGGGATGATTTAACGCTGGGCAATGGAAGGAGACTGCTGCCATCTGCTGCCACCGCTCCGTGCAGGCACAGCCGTCGCTCCGACTGTCAGCCCAGCGATACAGGAGGAAAGGGGAAAAGGAGGAGAGCTATACAAATTCAGGTTTGGCTCTAGCAGGAATTCTGCTCCTTTCCTGCTAAATAAATGACTCCAATTTGTGCTTCACTGGCTTTGCACGTTAACACTCAGAATTTCAAAGGGATTATTTGGGCAATCCTACAGCAACCTTATGTCAATACACAAATAAACTGATGACTGCATGTGCAATCCCTGACAAATCTTGTCTGTCCTACAGAAATCAGCATCTGCGGCCCAGTCCTCACGACAAGCACCACAGCGAATAAGCCTCGGTGGGTGACAGCAAACAGAGGAAAAAGGGGAGATGGGTTTTAGGTGGGTTTTATGGAAGCAGAGGCAGCCTGCTCTCCCAACCCAGGGTGGCATTAGCCGCTAGTGCCCCTGAGCAGGGCTAGGCAGCAGCAGGCTCAGCACAGCCAGAGCTCAGAGAGAGCAATGCGGGAGCCAGAGCCAAGGAAGCAGCAGGTAGGAGACCCAGGGCCTCTCTCCTGTTGTTGCATTGTTTCATTTTGTTTATTTTCCCAATCTCCAGCCAATGCAATCCCAGATAATGGCAGGGAGCAGCTGAAAGGCAGAGAGCTCAGCCGCAGCGAAGCTCTGGGTGCCAGCAAGCTGGAGCAGCCAAGGCTGGCTGGACTGCGGCACAGAGAGAGCCCAGCACCAGCCAAGAGCATCCTTTAGTGCTTATTTCACAACAGCTTTGCCAGGCTCAGAGTCAAAGCACTTATAACTTTCATTCAAATGAAGTCAGTGCATGTTAAAACATGCAAATATAGTCACAAGTGTTCCACCTTACTTCTGTTATTCGAATTAATTGAATTTCTGCCCTTAAAAGTAACTACTGGCAAAAGGTGCTGAGAGGTGGTAAGAATGTCTCAGTGCCTGTCCCAGCCACAGGTCACCTCCTGGCCCATGCTGTCCCTGGTGATAGTAGGATGTAAGTCACAGCCTGTTCTAGTGAGTGTGGAAGGGTAATGGCCACGAAGAAAGGACTAGGGTAAAAGGTTAAGAGGGGCATGATGGAGAGTGCTGGTTTGACGCAGTTGGTACTTAGATCAGCTGCAAAGAGATGAAAGGATAGCTCTTGAAAATGAACATGTAGGAAGAACATAAAGATACAAAGTCCAGACAAAAAGGGAAAGCTACACCAAGAAACCGTTTGTGCCAGCTGCTGGTAGTATCCACAAAGCCCTTTCATGGCTTTTTCTCCTTGCTCTCTTTCATCCAGCACAGCACTGGTATGACATCCAAGTCAGGAATGCTAAAAGTATTTGTTGGTCCCTTACTAAGGAGTATCCTAAAGAGCATTTATTTCTCCTTTTGGGAGGACACAAGATTATGTAAGATAAGGACAAGGCTTAAACCCAACAGTTACCTGCAGACCTCTCAACCTGAAGTCAAAGGATGGTGGTGCACTGCCTTCTGGCTAAAACCATCTACAGCGGATGTCTTGGTTTTACCTTCTTACATAGCATAAAGCATGTACTTAGAGTCCACGGGGACCCTGCGATAACTGCCAAAATTTGCAGGTCCTGCATTGCTTAATATTGCCCCTCTGGAAAAGGGTAGCCTTTATGCTCAGTTTTATACCTGGATTAGGAAAGTAACTTAAACCCGAAGCACTTGGTCAGATTCACACTTCTCTCCTGAGCAGCAGAGGCCTGTCTGAGTGACCAGTGCCCACGTCACGGGCTCATTGCGACAGTAGCACTTGGTGATTCACACACTGCATTTCCCACCTAACACAGCTGTTACGGAGAAAGCAAGAAAAGCAAAAGCTCAGTCTGCTTTAGAGACTGCTGCGACATCTTCCTCCAGGTACAGAGAAAGCACTGGAGAGGGGCTGAGTGTTTTCACCACATAATCCACTTTGTAGGTGCTTTCGTAACAGCATCTATTTATGACTGAATTGACAAGCCCATGATGGAAATCCTAACCCTGAAGCTAAAGGAGCTTTACATTCTCAGGGTTGTTTTATGAGGAAAACCCTATAGTAACACAGACACCTTTCAGAGTAAATTACCAACCATTTGCCGGTGGCACGGACAGACACCAGACCTCCAGGGCACAGAAACAAGTAACAGTTCCTCATTAATACGCAACCAGTGTTTTGTATTTCCACTTCCAATTTTGTTGCATTTCACACCAAAACTTGTTATTCTGTGTCCATTTCCTTTCACTTCTACACCTCCTGAGGATATAGAACTGTTACCTTAGTTGTAATACGTGTCTTAATGTGATACATCTTAGTACCCCTGTATGTATATGCAAACTGTGCTTGTCACAAAGATCAAAGGCCTTGTGCCAGCTCTCTGGCACATGAAAAAGGAAGCAGATCCCAGCTGGACAGTTCATCTCAGGGAGCCTCTGGGAAGCAGGAATGGATAAGAAAGCATCCTGGAGTCTGGGAACTACCCAGTTTAAAGGGCATAGGCAGTGTGATGAACACACAGTTCATCTTAGCGCTACTGACAGCCCACTGCTCCAAACCCAAATTGGCATAGCACAAATATGACAGGACGGGTTATATTCCACATGGTTAACCCCCATTTAGAAAAGCATTCAGGCATTTAGGTATTCCCAACTTTCTTCAGAGTACTCAAGGATATACCCAGCTTCCTGGCTGATGAGATCTAAGCACATCCCTAATTACTGGTGGAAAAAGGTCTGGAGATGCTGCAATGATGGATAATACAGAAAGTCTGAAGTGAAGACAAGATCTTACTTAAAAGTAAGCAGCTGAATTGAATGAGCTACACCCCTTGTAACTGCTAGGTCAGAATATTTTGCAGACTGCCCATCCATAAATAGGACACATTTCAAGCAAAGCCTAGTTCTTAGCTTTATGGCATTAAAGGCTGTTCTTAATATTGCCTTTATTTAACTAACCCAAGACACAAATCAAGTCTTTTCATTACCAGCCAATAA